GGCAATTGCAACTGAAACAGAAAGGGATGGCAATAGACCATTAACAAGATCAAGGTCGTAGAGAGACATTACAGTCAATACAGGTCAGTTTGTGGTTATTTGTATGAGTTCACGTCCTTCGAAAGCCAGTAAACTCTTCTTTGCCAGTCAGTGTGATACTAATTTGTAGGCATGTCATTCAAGCTCCTGTTTAAAACTGTGTTCTGAATGGGAAGATTGTTTCAAAAAAGAAATGAAAGAAAGTTGGAAATAAAGTGAATGATTGAGTTAAAATTTTTCAGCATGAGGTGAAAAAGGACATTTTGTTGTGAACAAACCAACTCAAGAATACAGAAGGCCGATGATCGTTGGCGTCTTGTACCCTTTTGCATTCTATACCATTTTAGCGGATGATAACTAAGGAGTTTTCAATATAATGTTTTGAGGTACAGTCGACCTGTATTAAGTGGCACCTTAATAAGCGGTCACCCTGTATTAAAACTCCGTCGGTTGTCAAAGTCCCGAATTTGTTTCCCTTTAATCACTGTAATTTTCACCTCTATTGCACGGTCACCTCCATTAAGTCACCCTTTACTGAGTCCCAACAGCCTTTTTGTATTGTCCTTCACCTGAATTAAACGGTCACTTAACAAAACAGTGTTTTAAACAAAAATCTCGGGGTTCGTCATGTGACCCAGCCCTGTCTGTGCATGCCAACATCAATTATCATTAAGATAACCACATGATCAGCATGTGAACGCCTTCACCCTCATTGGATCACAGTTAGTTGTCATGGTGTTGAGGGCCCAATGAACACTGGGTACTATTGGACAATTTTTCCATTTTGTGGTGGAGAGAAAAAAAAAAGACAGCAAAAAAACAAAGGCATTTTATGACTGGGCTACCACAGGTATCCCAGTAAAAATGTGTCATAAATCAAGTTTAGAATACAACCAGCTATCACCAGCTAACCTTCCAAGAACTGTAGATGTTTGTGGAACTGAAGTAAATTTAGACAATTTGTTTGAAAGTGAAGGAATATTAACTGATTCACTTCAAAGCAAGTCAATTCTTGAAAATTATATATAAATATAATTAAAGTGAATGCACAGGGTTTTTTTTATATCGTTTTCCCCTTATTGAATCAGTTGTATCGTTAAACCCACAAAAAGATCATAATGTATGTATTCCCTCCTGCTTTATAATGAAAGAGACACGTCTCCTATTCAATACTCTAAAAACATAAATGGAACAGCTTCCCTTGTTGATGCCATTGGAAAAATACAAGAGAAACACATGTATAACACTCCAGGGCTTTACAGAATACAGTTTGCCACATTTTTGTGTAAAGTAGTTGACAAAAACAAAAGAAAAAATTGATGAATAATCATAGACTAAAACAAGACTCTAAAGCAATGGAGCCACCAAAGAAAGAAATATTTTTTGAAGAAAAAACAAGTCAGCGATATGAAAAATAAACAGGAAATATGAAAAAAAACTGTCCCAAAAGTAGTCTAAGTGATGAATTATGTACTTTGACTGCTCATCTTTCACGTTTAGTTTTTGTTACAGCTGTCAGTTTTTTATAAGATATGAATATGATTCACAAAAATAATTTGAACTTTGACAAACTGCTGATTCCTTACAAATAAATTTTTATTACTGTTCTTGTTGGATGACAATTTCTATTATACCCTTGAAATATTGTAATTAGTAGATATAAAGTCCAATGAAAAAAAATATTAAAAAGTTATTACAATCTTAGAGTTTGACTTTTTCCTTTACTGCTTATGTACAGAATGTAAACACTTAGATACTTTTCATACGCAAGTGAAAATTTGCAATTACTGTAATTAGCAGACTGAATTTTTTTGTTCATCATCAACTGCTACAAATTTAAATGGTAATTTTTTTGTTCAAGGGCAAATGAAAATAGTGGTTTTGAGTGAAGTGATTTCAATAAACCTGGCTACTGCTGATCAATCACATAGAAGCCATCAGATGCTAAATGCTTTGTCACTTTTTTTTTGCATGTTTTAGAGTGATTTATTTTTGTTTGCCCATGAAATGAAAAAATGACAATTTAGTTTGTAATAGCTGATTAACAATGAAGAAAACGAAAGATTCACATTACACCACTAATTATTAGTTATCCTGTTCTTTAATAGAAAATTAAAATCACTTTAAACACTAACAGTTAATTAGTACTCACCAAGTTTAATGTAATCACTCTCACCAATAAACGAAAATGTATCAATTAAAGTATACTAGCCATTTAACTCCAAATGGAAAAAACAAATTGGAGGTATTAGTACAAAATATGCTTAAGTGTATTTCTCAGGTTTATGAGAACCACTCTAACAACCCCATAAAATTAATAGTTCATCTGCAAATAAGCTTTGGTAGTGACTTTTTGTTTTCTTTTGGTGATAAGAAAAATAAGTAATTGGTTTTCTTCCATCAGTTAAATGTCATCACCCTCACACTTGGGGCTGTTTATAATTAAAAGCTATCTCAGCCAGAAATCTTTTGTTAACCAAGGAAAAGAAAACATAAGACAACCTATTCAGCAAATGACTCACCCTGCTACAACCCCTTAACCTACAAAACAAAATTTAATCAAGTCAAAACTCAAAAAAAAAAGAAGAAAGAAAATGGAAATAGTGTTTAGTAATTATTATTGAAATAATGGCCAATAATATATGGCACTGCCTCCACCAACCCCACCCCAGAAAAGGTTCTTCACACTACATAACAAATGCTGTTTTCAGCTTTTTGTATACACCTGTGAGAAACCTGCATCTCTGACAGAAAACATAACTAATTTACAGGGAAATGTGTAGCAGCTACAGGAGAGAATTAACAATCAGATCTTGGGAGTTAAAGGGTTAAAAAAAAAACTTGGGCAAAATAAATGCAGGCACAAAAAACAAGTTTCTTTCTAACAGAAAGCCCGAGTGAACGCAAATACGCGTCTAGTTTTCTTTACAAATCGAAAACATCAGTTACACAAATTGTCTCACTTTAACCCACCCACCCAACAAAAATAACTCTTGCACGCATAGCATGCCTATGTTTTGGTCTCGTTACGCAACGCCCTCTTTCCAACGGAGGAGAGAGGGCGTTGCGTGACGAGGCTAAACAATGGCTGCGAAGGAGACTACAGTGTGCGTGAAACCAGTGCAGCTTAGGGACAATAAAACAATGTGTGCGTTTATTTCAGATAAATGGGAAGTTTTTTTTTTCCTCCATCTCTCTCCATTAACCCTTTCCACCCTAACATCAGTAAGTATATTCTCCATAATTTTTTCTACACGTTTCCTTTGGTACTGACAAGGAAAAATTTTTGAACAATCAAGAGCTTCATTGGTTGGTAAGCATTTCCTTTATTCTCGTGGCCTTAATGTGTGATTCAGGGATTTATTGTAAGGAGAAATGAGATGTTGGTCACTCCAAGGGATTAAAGGGTGAAGGTAAAGTAAGTATATTTTTCTTTATAATTAATACAACAGACAATACAACCAGAAATACTTATGTGTCAGTTTATTTCAGATAAATCGGAAGGGCTGTTTTACTCTCTTAAGTAAAGTAATGCTATGTTTTCGTTCTTTTTAAGGTTAAGGCTCTTTTTCTTTTACAAAAATAAAAACATCAGTTACAGTGTCCCACCTCAACTCACCCATTTAAAGAAGTAACTCTTGCATGCATTGCATGCCTATGATTTTACTGTTTGTCTCACCAGTGTCATGCGCACTGTTTCTTTACTTCTTCTTATTAACTTTTACTTCAATGTTTCGTGCAATAAATGTTCCTTTTCTTTCCAATCTGACGTTTTTGTCAATGTCCAGTCTACTCCTTCTTTTTACTTTGTTTGTAGCGATTACATTGCGCACTGTTTTTTTTTTTGTTCATTTTCTATGTTTGGTAGTTTTGTTTAGTTGTATCTTGCGCATAGCTCGTTCTCTTGTCTCCTCCGATTAAATATTTCGTTAGAATCTTGCACAATGCTTGATTCGTCTCTGTTTTGTTTCCAAGTTAACATCTACCTCACTGTTTGTTCCAATTTATATTTGTTTCCTACAGTAGAACCTAGCCCTCTGTTTTTTTCCTTAACCCTTTAACTCCCATCAGTGACAAGACATAATTTCTCCTTACAATATCAACACAGAATCAAGCAGACAAGTGAGGAGAATAAAGAAGAAATCTCAATTAAGGGGACTACAAGTTGATCCACTGGTAAATTCTCCAATTTGAAATCCTAAGTATTTTTTGGCAGACAGTAGGGAGAATTAATAATGAGATCTTGGGAGTTAAAGAGTTAATTCTGGCTGATTGTCACGTTCATATCCTACAAACTGTTTGCACTCTTCTGTTTGGCGTTAGTATCTCGCGCAATGTTTTCTCTTAATTTTATCTCAATAATTCGCTCACCGTTTCTCTTCTTCTCTATTTGTTAATACGTTTTTTTTAGTATATTGTACTCTGTTTGTTCCCTTCCCCATTTAACTTTTACATTATTATGTAGCGCCCTGTTCCCAACACTGTTTGGTTTTTGCGGTAATTCTCAACAATTGTTCTCTTCTCTGTCTGATTTTTACGTAATTATCTTGTCTTTTCTATTTGATTGTTCAGTATCTTGGCACTTTTTGTTCCCTCTTCTGTTAGTATGTTATGTTATCATCTCCTGCACCTATGAACAGTCTTTATCACTCATAAATGATCACGCCTACATTCAACGGGAGAATTGAAAACAGGATCGTAATGATTTAAATCAAGGATTAGTTTTGAGTTTTGACGACACTTGCTAACATTCTCGCATTTTATACATTCAGCTAATTTCCTGCGTTCAGTTTTCGCATCTCAATATATTGTAGTTCCCTATTGAAAGTTTTCTTAACAGCTCAAACGGCTTAATTGCAGGTTCCATTGTCACCAGATTTTGATGAAGCCCTGCCTACAAAAGCGCGCAAAATCTACTACTTGACTTGAAAAAAAAACCTAAAAACTTAAAACTTAAAAAACTAAAAATGTCTACGCAAAGTAATACCAGTGTCCATTGAAAGACAATGTACAGGAAGAAGAATCTTTATGTAGGATCAGTAGTCACTCTGTTTCTTCTCCGCCTCGTTGTTGTCCTCCTCGAGTTCTTCTTTCCTAAAAAAAAATTAAATTTGTCAATATTTTCAACAATGAAACGGATTTCCAATATTAGAAATTACTTTCTTCTTCAATGTCATTGGCTATGATTATCCAAACGTGTCGAACATACCATGTTTGATACGAAAGTGACTTTAAGATTGTCACTGACTTTTGTTTATTTTTACAGATAAAGTGAACTTTTTCAGCTTCTTAAGTTAACTCCATCGTCAGAGCGTCAATTTTAGAAAGCCTTCCGTGAAAATCTTCTAGCTTCGAGAACTAGTTAAAATCAACTTCTCTTTCCTGGCATTTTATGGATGAAAGACAAAGACAAAAAGAAAACGAAAAACAAAAGAACACAAGTTGATAAAGTGAACAAGTCAAGTGTACTAATCGGTTTATCGTAGAAAATTGCTCATTATGATCAGACTTACCCTTTTGCGATAAAATCAATTGTCACGTTATCCCCCATCAGCACGAACGGGGCCCATTGGCGAGGTTTGGGGAAGCCATTACTTCTCAACCATTGAACGGCCTGGTGAAGAGATTCACTGGCACTTTCTCCACGAACAAGGTGTTTATAGAAATGTTTCATGAGCCTCTCCGTTGCTTTGTCTTCTACAGCCCACAATGCTACCAACACTGAACGTGCACCGGATGCTAAGAATGCTCGAGCGATTCCAATAACTCCTTCCTTTTTAATCAATCCACGCCCACTGTGACAACAGCTGAGTACTACCAGTTTAGCTCGCACTTGAACTCCTTCAATGTCGGACATTGTCAGGAGGTAGTCTTCCTCTTGTGGAATACTGTTAGCAGTACGTTGAGGAGAGAGGGCAATCTCTCCTCTTTCGGCATGTCCATGTGCGGCAAGATGTATCAGACTCACTGAAGGAATTGCTTCAAGAACCGCCTGCTTTGTTGCGCGACTTCCTAACAAAGGCTGAACGCCCAGCAGCTGACCAACCATCTCTGCTTCCTTACTTGCACAGAATAATGGTGTAATGTCAGTGAGACGTCCATTGTAATGCACTTTGCCAACCGTAGGATCACCCACAACTAGCGCACCGGTTTGAATGTGATAGTCTGCTGGACATTCTTGAATGAGCCGGAGAGTCGTCAATGAAGGGACGATGCGTATTCTGTACTTCTCCGATAAATACCTTCCGGCTGGTTCATCACGCAAGGCAGCAAATGGGACTCGGTACGAGAAACGGTCCGGTACAATGATGATTTCGGGCTCTGTAAGTAAATCTGCCACAGGTGCGATGATCCATTGGTAGCACAAATGATGACTTCTTCCGGTATCTTTGGTTTCGTCACC